AGAGTAAAACTAAATGAGAAATTACTTTTGTGAATATATAGCTCTGAAATATTAATTTCGGCCGTATCAAATCCATTCTTTAGTTTTGAAGTAGATTATGCACTATATTTAAGTAATTTCAAATATCTCACAATTAGCTTGATAGATTTTTTTCAAAAATCCCTACAAATGGAGGTATATAGTATGAATTATGTGGTACGAAGCATTTTAGTGTTGAACGCTCTGCAAGGCTAAAATTGCTCTCTAAACGAAAACAATTATTTCATCATATTCACGTGTTATGACGTCCGATCTCATTAAAAACTGCATCAAACATTAATTCAATCTTTATGTGACTTATGTGCAAAAAAGGTTTGCAATCGGATAAAACACGTTTATGCACCAGCGTTCCAAACGTGGAAGGTAGCGGTCAAGCGTGAGGGGGTTCAGCCACCTTAAGTGTAATAACTCAAATAAAATGTTTGTCCGTCTTGCTATGGAAAGGTTAAGTGTCCAAGACTGTTTCTTTAATGACGTCGTACATAAATGAATTAGTGAGATGTATCTGTGATAACGTCAACCGACAACTTTTGACGTCACCATTTAATCAGTTAGCCGTTATTTAGTTTGATGAACCATGATTTTATTTGACAGGTGTTAATCATCGACTCGAAGGCAGTTTATTACGAGTTTCTGGTTAACCAATGGCTGAATTCTTCAAGCACTCCAACAGTCGAGGTTTCACAGGAAGCGATTCTCTCTCGTAAGTTTAACTTGTCTTTCCTTCCTAAAATACCAAGGTCATGTGACCAACACGACAGAAACATGTTTGCAATTGCTCGTATGCAGTCTAGTCCAAAACGTCATTTGCCATCTTAAAAAAACTGGGAGGGAAATCGCAGTCGTAGCTAACGACTTGAACTAGCATCAGGCTGAATAATGCATTGTAGAATATTATACAACCTGGTGGACAGCAAAGGCATACTTTCCTGTGATTGGATTGTTTTTAAAAAAGGCACTCGGATGTTTGATGTTTGAGTGGCCCTTGTACCCACTGGCATTCTTAGCAGTATAATAAAGAACAGTTTGTTTTCATGAATTTCAAAGTATTTACGGAATTTACAATGAGATAAATGTTATAAAATTACTAGTCGGTCAAATAAATATATACAAAATATTATGGAGTTGGGTTGAAATAATGTATTTTTGGGTGCTGTTTTGGTTTGGATAACAGGCACGTTTAGCTACTAGTGGTCTATCAGTAAAGGACTAATAGCAGGATTTCTTATAGACCATTAGTAGGTTTATACTAATGCAATATAAAAGCAGGCGTGACCAATGTTTTTATTGTTTAATTAGTTAGACTTTAATTCAACAGGCACGTATGGAGGCCCTAATTCCGTTCAGTCAAGAGGTAAGCTTTGTTCTCTTCTTTATAGCAAAGTTCAAAGAACATTGGCAACAAAGTAATAGTATATAGAATTGGCAGATCTAATTTAGAAAAGATCTTGCGCGCTTAAATTCAGCCTAGCATTTATGTGAGGTGGTTATTTGTATTCTTTAAATTTTGTAAAGAGAAATCTGCGGCTTGTTAAATGTCACCATTTGTAAGGAAATCATTTGTGGGTGGATCTGATATGCACCGCCTCTCTGAATGACGTGAGTTCGATTCCTGTGAGAAGTTGCCAGTTTGTTCTTTCCTTTGTTTTGGAATTATGTAGTTATAGGCAATCGTGTTCTGTAGGTCATTTTGTTTTTCTCCCATCACCGAATTCAACTTTTAAATTCCAATAGGCCAATTCAGCTTCATTCTAGTGTTTTCCAATTTTAGACCAGTGTTCCCGTGTGACAACTACCGTGTTGTAGTTATGCCCTGAATAAGATCTGCCCAGAGTTTGTTTCAGAGTACGATAAATTTTGAAACTGTCCCTCCATGATTGGCTTGGTTGACGTGAAATAAAAAAAGKTTTATTTCCATGTATTCTAGGTTGTATTGGTAATGGATCCAAAGTCTGGTACCGACATATTCTTAGCAACGTATACAAGCCTGCCATAGTAACAAGTTTCTACGCCAGCAATGCTACTCTAATAACATCCAGCGGTAATATCGTCACAGTCCCTCGTGARCAACATTACGACGGTAGTTCCAGTCCTCTAGTTGTTAATGATGATTGGYTGGAATTAACAATGGCATTAGATAATGATTTTATTGCGGCATTCAATCGATCAAGAGAGTTCTATTTTGGAACATCTACATATGTTTCCAGCGAGTAAGTACGCATGCGCAAGACCACAAATACAAATGTTCATATTGAAGAAAATTGCATAATATGAAACGAGTAATGCATACTGGCTTGGTTTAGCTTGAGTAAAAAATATGCTTGTTTGTTTGCCTCATAAGATAATGTTTGTATCGCTACCCAGATCGCTGCACTTTGGTAATCCCACCGAGGAATGACTACCAAATTGAATAATTTATTACCTTGACAAAGTTATTTTGAGCGTTTTTTCCCCCTACTCCAAAACTCTTGAAAATATGTTTTTTGTTTGAGATGTATTCATACTCCTTTTTTTCAAGCGTTACCTGTAAACAAACAATCATTTCTCAAGGGAATGGCCGGTAACRTTGTCCGAAATGGGCCGGAAACCATGCTATGAATTACAGCACTTAGGGCAAGCTAATTATACCTTTACGGCTTATTGTTCCCTTTCTTTAAGGTCTTTGACAACGTTGATGTCAAACCAGAAGTATACTTGGCAGCACTTCATGTTTAACATCCACTATACCGACAGCAAACACGAGAACCATGTTAGAGGTGGAAACATCAGAAAAGTAAATCAGATGTCCACTTCTTTTTGTAGTCATCGTAAGTAGAAAGGCGGCGGGGATACTAAAGCTGGCTTATAATCTACCTGTGTATGTGTTTGTTTTAAAAGAGAGAGGGAGGGGAGGGGGGGCTAATTTAAAATAAAAAAATAAATCTCTTTATTTAAGTGTCTAGTCGTTCTAGCGCTTTCGTACTAATTGGGGACACTTTTCACTCACACACACTACCACTACATTCCTTGTTCTATGCATACCACGCTCAAGTCAAATGTTGATTTTTACCGATTAAAAATGGGTTGTACATGGACTGTAGGCTGCTTATGTGATTAAATAGTGTAAATTTGATCTGGACTTTTTTTATGAAGTTGACATAGTTTGTTTGATGTATTGTTCTGTCGTTTATCACTGGAGTTTTCCTAAGGGTTCTCCAGTTTTACTTTCTTCCTAAATACCAAAGATGCGAGCTGAGTCAGATGCGGATCCAGGAGTGATGAGGGGATGACTAGTCGCCCCTCTTTTGCACAAATTATTTGCAGATGACCCTCCCCTCTCAAGCCCCACGGCACTTCACTCAATAAAAAAACGTACCTTTTCTAATACACTGACAACATTTTATCCGGACAAGCTTTCACTCTTCAAATTTAACTTCAAATTTGATTTCCGTCAATTTGAGACGCCATATTTACACCACTTAACCGTCTTTTATGGGTTTCCTGTGGTAATGACGCGAGGCTTCCAATAACAGTTACCCCCTCCCTTTTAAAAATCGTGGATTCGCCAACAGTGAATAGCAGGTAGAGTGTGGAGAGCCCCTCAAGGAGGGTTATGGTTGTAAAATATGTTAAATAGCTAATAATTTTCTTTATTTTTGGCAGTGGACATTGACGATCAAGACTATCCTCAAACTGCCCTCTTTACCTGTCAAGACTCAGATCAGAAAATTGAAGGTCACGTGATTACCAATCTAGCCACCCGCGATGTAAGGCACTGCGGTATGGTTTGTTCCAGACATGCGCAGTGCGTTTCGTTCAATTATTGTGACTCATCAAATATGTCGTGCAATTCCTTTCCGTCAAACTGTGAGCTGAACAGTTCTAAGTATGGGCAGAAAAGCAAAAGAGGAGAAAGTTTTAAATTCTGTGTTCTTCTTAGAAAATTTTAGCTAGTGGTTCTCATCTTTGAGTAATATAATAACTATGATAACATGATGACCATGATACGATAACACCTACAGTCGACTCTCCCGTAAGCGACCACCCCGGGGCCAGGAGAAAGTGGTCGCTTACAGGAGATGGTCGCTTACTAGAAAGTTAACACAGGAAGCCCAAACAATGGGAATCCCAAAACAGGAAGCCTAACCCATTTATAATTTGTACCTCACGTGTTTATAAAACTAACGATTTAACTGTTTGAATTAACGATTAAACTATTTTAATCAAAACTTTGAATGTGCTATATGTTTACAGTACTGTAATTGTCAACATTTGGTCGGGTTTTTAATAATGTTCTTAAATTTTTTATTGTTAAAGGATCTGTCACCGTTACTGACTCTTGGGTGGTCGCTTACGGGAGAGGAAAAACAATGAAAAATTCCAAAATTTTAACCCCAAAGGCGGTCGCGGTCGCTTACGAGAGTGGTCGCTTACGAGAGAGTTTTTTACAGAGTTTATATCGAGAACAAAACGGGAATTTCAAAAGGTGATCGCTTACGGGAGATGGTCGCTTACAAAAGTGGCTGTTCAAAGAGAGTCGATTGTCTTCAGCTATTTCAAAACAAAATTGGTAAAGCCAGCTGCACGTTGCATACCAAGCCCGTAATGCACTATGGATGGTATATTGATGTGAATGAAATCAGCGAAAGTTCACACCAACATGCCTTGTTTTTCCGAACTTTGTCTGAATTTTTTCCAACCATCTTTCCTTCTGTGCTGAAATCATTAACATATCGATAATATATAAATTCAGGTTACGTAATCAATTCATTAAAAAATCAACTCGATGGGTTACCAATTTTGGATCTCCGCTCGGGAGCTCTGCTAAAATTTTGTGTTTATAGGTATGCAACATGCATCAACTTTCAGCTACKTTTTAATGAAATAGCTGTATACCTTGTTGAAAAATACGCAGTCGATATAAAACTTACTGAATTCGTRTGTAGAGTGTATTTCGCTTCATATACAGCAACTAAGTATAAACGCCTTAACACCAATAACTGCAGTAAATTTAGATATTTCTCAGCTCGCATGTGGTAGCCAACTTGGTTTCAATTTGTAGCCTCAAAACTGTCAGAAAAGCTACCATTCTCTTACAAAAATTACTCGAGCAGTAGGAGAATACTTGTTAATGCTACCTAAAATGCTTATTTATATATCGAAATAAAACGATCCATAATATGATCATAATGTGCTTCAACATAAAAGTATCATTAAAAGTATTTTCTGATTTCGTTCTTTAAAGGGTCACTGTTACATACTTCAATATTTCAACATCCTTCACTGTATATGGAAACTCTATTGCATTTATCAAAAGTGTTCTATAACCAAACGAAGAACCTGAAAACAAAAGGTACGAAGTTTCTTTTTGTTACAATGTTTTTTGGGCGGAACTAATGATGATAATTAATAAAAGTATATATATAGAAATACATACGTATATAAACAGTTGCCCAAACAGGAAATTTACGAAAGGGACCATGTGATCCATGCGAGAGATAAGTACAATATAAATAAAGAATGAGAATGATTACTATTTTAAGGTGCTGTTTTATGCTATWGGATGTTATTCCCTATTTAGTCTGACTAGCTCGCCCTCAGTTCATAGCGTAGCTCCCGCGCGAGCCGAAGGCCCGCGCGAGCGGAGCACCATACTTAAGAAAAAATGGTAAACYATCGAGTTGATTTTTCATGGCTTGGCTGACGTCACTTCCGTCCGTACRTACGGGCGTCCGTGTACACAACACAGGAATCCAGCCTGATGTTAAAGCAAAACTACTAGCTAAGGCGGCTCTCAAATGCACGGAAAAAATCGCTTTAGGGCAAGCTATAGACCAAAGGCAATTAAAAAATTTTCATGTATTCAAAGATGGATCAAGAAGTGTTCTTCAAGAATTCAGGTGTGTGTTTTTTAGCAAACAATCGTATATTATTATTTTTTGACAAGCATTTTTCTCRACGAATCGACAAATCAAAGACTTTCTCTCAAACCTTTTAATATTTCTATAGATAAGCTTAATTTATTTTAATGCTGGATGAAATATATACACGAAGAGCATATTACAACAAATATTCGTCCTTTATTTGATTTTGTAAATCTTTAACAATAGACCTTTCCCGAATTCACTTGGATGACCGCGAAACAATGGTTTGAAGTTGAGATTGAACTTGATTCTTTTATTCATCAAGCTCAACCTCGACTTGAAACCATTGTTTCGTGATCAGTCAAGCGAATTCGGGAAAGGTCTATTCGGTTGTTTTTAACCAACTATCGTATGTTTTCGTTTAAGAAAAATGCAGCTTTGYTCGCCTTCTATCGCGGGGTCCCATCGGCAAAACAAAGAAGACTTTCATTCAATAATTTTACTCAGTGATCTTATCTACAGATAATTTATTTAAATATTGAATGAAATTTACTCCAAATATTCAACTGTTTATTAAGCTGTTCGAGCAAGTATGATTATACAAATGAGCTTAAATTTGTGTTGTTATGTAAAGACGTAATTAAGTAAGCTTATTTTTTTGCTCACCTTTACCAGTTTTCAAGTCTGTAATTTAGTCTTGATTTGTCCTAAATCTCCAGAATTTCGAATTCATGAAATTCACTAAACATGATATTGTATTGGATTATCTGTAGTTAACTTTCGTTTTTTTAAGTAAAAGACATTCAGTCAAAGCTTAAAAATGTCGGCCATGGAAAACTTTGTCGAAGAATCTTCAAAGAACAAAACTAGCCCCTGGGGGTGGTGGTGAGTTGTAGGTAAAAAATTCCTAAGTGAAAGAGTATACTCGCGCAAAAAAAAAACAACAACAAACAAACGAAAAACAAACAACGATGTAGTGCATTTCGATTCGATTTCACTGCATGATTTTTATTATGGGAGAAATTATTGTCATCTCGAATAAGAAATAATTGAAGATTTTTTTCCCGAACTTATTTTTACCTTTCAGTTTCATTCAAATTGGGCTCCCTGTGACTTCCGTATCGCACGCTCCGCTTTTAGGACAGGCACATAAAAAACTGATGTCTATTTGTTTTTTGCAAAAACAAAAACGATAAAAATTTCTCATTTTTAGCGATCAAAACAACCAACGGAAAGAGCGCGTGCTCGTTGACGTCAGCTTTATCTGTCTGTCCTCTTAATGATGTTAAAAAATAACCAATCAGCGCACGAGAAATTTGTAAGTTRTTGTAAAAAAATTATTTTATGAGCGAACAGAGATCCGTTTCTACCCTCTGCTCGCAGAGTTATGATACATTCTGTGTAGGTGTTCTAAATCTGTTGTTTTATGTAGATGCTAGATCGAAGCTGTTAGGAATTGGCTATYATAATAAACGGGAAAACCGCTCTATTTTAATTAGTCTTGTGGAGAAAATGTAACCTTTGTTTGCTTTATTAAACACAATACTTAAAATCTAGTAAATACAGAGCGAATTTTGGACAATTTTCTTCTCGCTCGCTTCGCAAAACAAATGCGTCAATTTAACTGTATTTTTCATATAATGTGCTTGGATTATCCCAGATTCTAACAGTGTATTTTATTTTAAGATGTTTTAAATATTTAGCCTATTACGGCCGAAAATCAAACAGTGCTATTTTTAGTTTTTGGCTTTTTTCTCCTCATCCCTAGCTACGATTTTTCTGAAATTTTCAGAATGTTATCACCTAGTACCATTGCAGCCTGTGTATAAATTGGGATGGAAAGTCTTGGGCAGAAAAAACGTTATGACGCCCCTTGAAAATTCGATCCAAAATTTGAAGCATATAAGACATCGCGCTGTAGAAACACCACCATTGAATGGATTGCCTTGAAGTTTTCACATAT